AGTTTGATCCATTTACTCCCATCTCTGTGTAGAGACAGGGCGGACGAATAGGTCTTAAGGTAAACATAAGGAACCATTTCAGGAATCAAGTGGGCGTATGCCTCCTGGTTTCTCCTCCCCTTTTCTAGATATCGATTAGTTGAGGCTAAACAAGGCTTGGGTTTCTGAATATCATATCTCAAAAGGGGTTGAAGGACCCTTCGAAGATGACGTTTTTAATTTTATTCTATCAGTATGGCCGAATCTCTAATTGTAATCGTATATACGTGAAAAGTTTGTAATCGATGGCCAGTAATTAAAGCTAACAAAGTAACTAACTTCATAGTCAATTGCATAACAGATCTTTCTGTTAAGGGATACAAGGTAGATAAGTACTCTAAAACTGGTTGAGGATCCCAAGTTGATTGATACTTAGGTCTTGACGGTCTCTGATTGAAAATTCCTTTAAGAAACCGTTTTAGAATAGTTTTATCTGAGCTATTTATCTCAAAAATCAACGCTAATGCCGCATACTGTGAGTTAAGTGTTGAGTAGGAACAATTGTTTTGAAATTGATCACTCAAAAAATTAATGACTGCGTCTAATGAATACAGAAAAGGAATATAGCCTTTGCTTATGCAAAATTGCCACCACTTTTTTAATTTCGATGAATACTGTCTCAAGGTAGATGGACTAAGCGATGCCTTGATTGCTTGGAGCCCGTTTTCTGGCACTCCTCGTCTGAGAAAAGCTTCCCTGATAAACTCCCAGCCTCCAGGGAAAGTGTTCTGCACAGTGGATGGCATCCCCTAGAAGGGGAAGAGAGAAGGGCTTTATTAGGCAAAAAGATTATAGATCTTCCTGTCAATAATTTATGGAAAACGGAATACCACGGTTGAGTTGTCCAATTAGGTACCACAAGAATTCCACAAGCTTGTTCAGCAATAATTTTTTGTAGGCATTTTGATATGAGTGAGAAAGGAGGAAACGCATAAAAAAAGTCTTTTCTCCAAGACATCAACTGTAAAAGAACTAGGATCTGGTTTCCAAGAAATATACCTAGGAACTTTGGCATTTAACTGTGTCGCGAATAAATCCACAGTCGGTTTCCAGAAACTAGAACAAATTTCTCGAAAAGCCAAACTCGATAACTCATATTCTAGGTTGATAGATTTCGAGCGAGATAATCTATCTGCATATAAATTATCTGTTGTATTTATATATGAAGCTACTATGAAAATTTGTCTATTCTCACACCATTCCCAAATCTGGCGTGTGATGTTATTAAGGTGCTTATATCTTACACTACCCATATGATTTATGCAAGCTATAGCAGTTTCATTGTCGATTCTAAGAAGAATTGAACAAGAAGATATATTGGAGGCAAAGGATTTAAGTGCATTAAATGCGGCTAGTAACTTGAAATAGTTAATGTGTTTGTTAGCATCGTCCACATTCCAAAACCCGTTAGTACCTCTATTCTGACAAAAGGCACCCCCACCAGTTAATGAAGCATCTGAGAAAATCTCAAGTATGAATTTCCTATCTGTAACAATAGCTGCACCTTCATTATTCATAAGAGTGTGATGCCACCAACATATTTCTGATCGCATTATTTCTGCAATTATTACTGAGGTATTGAAATTTTGCTCGTGTCTTTTTAATGTTACATATTTAACGCGTTCTAGAATCTTAAGGTGCACCCAACCATATTGTACAGTCGGGCAAACGGAAACTAGTTTTCCTATTAACTGAGCTAAAACTAAAACAGAACACCGATTGCGGCGTAGAAAAGTCTCTATTAGTTCAATCATGTTTTTCACTTTTTCTGTTGGTAAGGACACTCTTAAATTTGTGGAATCAAAAACAAAACCTAAAAAGGTACATTGTTTGGCTGGGATCATAGAGCTTTTATCGTAATTTACTAAGAATCCTAAATATTCTAAAATATCCCTAGCAATTTGACAGTCTTGCTCAGCTGTTTGTATTGACTTACTGATAATTAATAAGTCATCTAAATACAGTACACAAATTATACCTCTAGTCCTTAAATATTTAAGGATTGGTTTCATAATTTTTGTAAAGACCCATGGGGCTGTACAAAGACCAAAAGGTAAACAATTAAAATGGTAATATACACCTTGAAATTTAAAAGTGAGGTATTTTCTGAATGTCTGATGCACCGGTATCATAAAATAGGCATCTTTTAAATCTATTTTAGTGAAGAACAGTGATTATAAACTAATTTGAAGACAGTCCTGAAATCTTCCAATTTAAAGTGGGGTGGTTCTAAAAATTCGTTTAATTCCTTTAAATTTAGAATAAACCTGAATGCCCCACAAGGTTTCGGTATTAAGAAAAATGAGGACAAAAACTGGCCAGGTTTTGAGGTAGTTTTGGATACTGCTCCTATGTTTATCAAAAGTCTTATGCTATCCTTTAATTTATCTGATTCCTGCAGCGTAAAAGCAGGTCTAGGTAAACGCCTTTGTTTAGGTTTCTTAACAAAAGGCATTTTATATCCAGATAACCACGAAATAATAGTAGAATCTGGTGTAATGGTTGCCCACTTATTTACATATGCAGATAAGCGACCCGCATACATATCGCAAAGAGTAAGTACCTTGTCTACTGCTTCCGGTATGACCTTGCTGAACGAAACCTCTCCTCCTCCTTTTTCATGCGAGATTTGTGTTGCTGGCGCCGGGAGGCATTTTAACACTATGGTATAGGGTTCGGCACCAGCCTTAATTTTATTGGTCAATTTCAATTTATTCAACCAATGACAAGCCGGGTGCCGAAATCATTACCGGAATGTTAAACAGTGCTGAAAACAGTGTCAGAATGTGATGAATTTAAATTGCTTCTACTAATATATCGAGTGCTGAAATCACTACCCGAATGTTGAGGATTACTGAAATACAGTTCGGAATTTCGAAGGTCGCCGATGCCTAAGGAAGTTCTTTATCGTTTACGCAGTTTACGTTAGATATTATAACCTCAAAGTTCAAGCGTCATCGTTTTTAATACGTTTCGAGTTGAACAGAACAATGGAAGGTTGCGTTAAAATAAAAAACAATATATACAGGGGAAAGTTTACAGACGAAGAAGGCACTATGCAGTGGCTGAGAGATTATGAGGTAGAAACTCTTACAACTTGGCGATTCAAATGTGGTCTCGCAAATCCGCGTCGCCTTGTATATAGGTAAGTGTATTGTTATTGTAAAGGATTATTTATTTGATTCTAATAACGACCGTAGCTTTTTTATTTTTGGAGCTAGACTTTTTTGAATGTTTTCGAGCTAGATTGTTCTTATTTGGGTTAGAACTAATTTTCAGAATACCTACTTCGAAAATTCAAGGCGCACGAAGGGCATAATATCGTTTAAACGAATGCAAAATATATTTTTAACCGACTTCCCAAAAGATGGAGGTTTTCAATTCGTGAGCTATATTTTTTTCTATGTGTGTTTACCGATATTTTCAAGATGGCTTATCCGATTATGATAATTATTTTTTTAAATGAAAGGGTATAAATGTCTCTGGGGTAGTCCCATATTAATTTGATGAAAAAATATTGACTTCAAAAGAGGAAATCAGTTGGTGAAATTATTTTTAAGGCAAATCTGGAGTATTTGTGTGTTAATTTAGTTTTTTGGTCGGGGAGGTTGCCTTCACGAGTGACCCGGAAGAAGTAGGGATTACAAGGGGTTGCAAAAGGTTACCGATTGGTCGGCCACCAAAGGAAGAAGGCGCACCAAGAAAAAGAAAGAGAAGCACTCAATGTAAAGCAAAATTTACCGAATGCTAAGTCTCATGGAACAGGTCACTAAAACCTATTACATTATTATTTTGTTAATTTTCGAATTTTCTTTTTTATTTCTGAATATTCTTGTTTTTTGAACGGACCAAAAAACATTCACATTTAATATGTTTATTCACGAAAAGTGATAATTTCTTCCCTGAAATGATAAATGCTGTACTTGAATGAGAAAATACACTCTGTGTATAGATATTAGAATTTAGCTTCTTACATTACATGGGAGGAAAATACCACTTTTCCACCCGCGGATTATTTATACAAAAATCCAAAAAAAGTATATGATTTTTTAGATTTTTACATTTCCTTGCACACTTTTTAAATTCAGTTATTTTCTATAATATATAATTTTAAATTTTTCATGGGATTTTTCTTATCGCTAAACCAAATTATTAATTTTAAAATCATTAAATATCGTAATAGGAAACAACGTGCGTTGATTATTATCTTATGTATTTTTAGCGGAAGGTAAGTAAATTTAAATTTAAATTGATAACATTCTGACCCCATGCTCAGCACTGTTTAACATTCCGGTAGTGATTTCGGCACCCGGCTTGTTATTGGTTGAATAAATTGAAATTGACCAATAAAATTAAGGCTGGTGCCGAAACCTATACCACAGTGTTAAAATGCCGCCGGGAGTTTAAAGACGACGAGACCCTCGACGGACCTGGCTTGGGCTCCAATTTCTTATAGACGACTGGTTTGGAAGATGCTGATCCTAGGGCTTTTTTCTTCTTCTTGATTGAAAAACCTAATCGTTGAGCTTCACTTGCGGATTTCCATTGGTCCGGGAATGTTTTTCCAAATAAAAATTCATCAATTGGGCAAGTATCAGAAAATTTGCGAACGTTGCCATCCAAAAATGGTAGAATGGAATAACGATGAAGAGAAATCGCGTGAAAAACATCTGCGATTATTTTTAGTGGAGCACACCATCTTTCCAAATCAGCTCGTGTTTCATCTGTAGAATTCGATTTCGTTATTTCATATTGATTATCGAAACCGACGGCCAGTGCACTTATCCCAGATGCTAACTGTAATTGAAGTTTACTGAGGAATGTATCCTCTTTATCTGCATCTGTACTTAAACAAGATCCAACCTCTGGGTTAATCACTGGAGGCTGAAGGGCTGGACAGTTTGCCAAACAGGGATAAGATTCCAGAGTAGTTTTGCGAGATTCTTTATCAATTCCCTTGAGTAAAAACTCAGATATCAGGGCTGCTACGTCTGTACTGACCTCTGGTCCTTTAGCAGATGCTTGATTACCCAGGAATTGTAGTATATTTTGTACACCCTGATCCTGGGATGAGCCAGGCTCCGGGACTTGCGTTGGATGCTTTGATAAGGGCGCATCTGAATCCGAGTCCGTCCCTGTACTCTCCAACGACTCACCTAAAAAACATTTTCACATGAGTTATAAGATCGATGCTTCGAGATCGCTTTTTAAAAAGTTTATTTTTCGAAAATAAAAAACTCAAAACTGTACTTTTACAAAATTATTACAATGTTATTATGATGTAAACAGTACAAAGGCTTAAATCTGATCATATCAGCAGGAACGGCTGATATAACTCATGAGTTATAACTCATAACTATACGTAACCTCGACAACAATCCAGGACTACTTCCCGTGGAAATTGGTGAAGCAAAAGTAAAAGACTATGACTTTTCACTCATTCATTATTATGATATGAATCCCATCATTTCTGAAATTGAAAAATTATCAATTTCCTCCTCACGTATAGCAGAAATCATTTCTTCAAATTTAAATGTCACTACATATTTGTCCAATTATTTCAGAACATTAAAATTTGTTCAGCGACAGGTAGAACAAAAGTTACATAATATATTTCCCCATACAAAGCGAGGAAAAAGAGGCATATTAAATGGCATTGGGTCGATATTCAAATCAATAACTGGAAACCTTGACGCCAATGATGGCGAACGTTTCGAAAATCTAATTCGAGAGCTTCAAAATAATCAAAGAGAGTTGACTAACAGTGTCACACAGAATAATGCACTGTCAGTATCTCTTATTGATAAGTTCAATAAAACTGTTCAGCAAATCTGTCATAATGAACAATTGCTGAATAATAAAATTAATACCATATATGCAATTGTTCATCGTACTACAATCGATTCAGATCAGCATAAATTCATGGTAGACACAGTATCTCAAATTATGAACAGCTACGAAGTAACTCTGTCATTATTACAAGACGTTGAAAATTCAATAATTTTTGCACGTCTTGGAACAATTCACTCTAGCATTAGTACAACCGAAGAAATTTTTGGTGAACTGAAACTATTGAGCTCAAGATTAGGCCAGGAAAAATTTGCGATTCCAGTTTTACTAGATAACATACCAACTTTTGAAAAAATAATCAAAATCTCCAGTTATTCTGTGGGCAACAAAATTACATTCGTTTTATCATTCCCAATCTCATACTATGAGTCATTTAACTTATATCGTCTCTTTCCAATCCCGATATATTTTGAAGGTCAATTTAAGACTATCATTCCAAAGGAGCCTTATTTGGTAAAAAATGAATTGCACTTTGCACTTTTCGGCGACATTTGTACTGAAATTGCTCCTAAAAAGTTTCTCTGCGAGAAGACCATCTTGCGAGACATTAATGGTCCATTACCCTGTGAACTTGAACTATTCAATGGAAGAAACGCCCCTGCATGTGCCCGAACTCCACTGATAATCAATCAGCCAAGTATCGAACGAATCCAACGGACTAATCAATGGGTATTGATCCTGCCACTACCAGAAGTTATCAAAATGGAATGCCACGAAGAAATGCAAATGAAAAGATTGACGGGAACTTACCTACTTTATATTCCTGTCAACTGTCAAGCCGAAATTAATCACCAAATCATCAAAAATGAACCCGAAACGATTGTCGCGGGCCAACCTATAATATTCCCGGATTTAAACCTGGACACTAAAGGCGACATCACAGAAACAAATTTCAGTCTGCATCTAGAAAAAATTAAGCTAGACGAGTTAAGTAAAATCAAGTCAAGCATTATCAACAACAAACCCAACTTCAAAAAACCTACAGAATTTTTGATACCCAGTGCCTGGACACTGATAATATATGGATGTATATTACTCTTGGGTGTCTACGCATTCTGGAAAACCATCCTATTCAACTTCCTTGAAGAATTCTTCCCCGAAGTTGAATCTCAGGGGGGAGGAGTTATATCAGCCGTTCCTGCTGATATGATAGGAATACTGCCGACGATGCTACTAATTTCCTAGAAGACCTAGAGTTTACTTTATTGTTCTCAACACATTTTACAGTCAGTCAGATTTAAGCCTTTGTACTGTTTACATCATAATAACATTGTAATAATTTTGTAAAAGTACAGTTTTGAGTTTTGTATTTTCGAAAAATGAACTTTTTAAAAAGCGATCTCGAAGCATCGATCTTATAACTCATGCCAGTAATTCATGTGAATACTGTATATCAAGAAGTGTTTAATCGGTACATAGTACATGTGTACATGTATATCCGAGGGGCACATTGAAATTGAACAACCATTTTAATTAATACTAGTAATTCATGTGAATACTGAATATCAATAATAAACAGGAACCTGATAGGCACATAGCACATGTGTACTTATGTTTTCATTGAATGAATTGGGGCTAAAACAGAAGGGAACAATTAATTACAATATACTTACTTGAACTATCTAAAAGTTGCAGCAATTTCTGTAATTTTTTTCTGTGTTTACGCGTCACTTTCTTTGTTACGCGACCCATCTTTCTCTCCGTCCTGCTGCGAGCGCACGAAAAATTGCAGTGACGAGTCTTGGTAGAGGAGATGAGGTACCGGTCTGTGCCGGGAGTTATGTTACCGTCATTTAGCACTTTATTAATTGATATAATAATTGCATTGTATTCCTTTTTACTAGCTCATCACTTTTGATTTATATTAACGATTGTATCTTAATTATGAGTCAGTCATTCAATCTCAGTCACAGCGAACACACACACTGTAATTCCGGTTCGGTCCATGTAAACTATTGTTGGAATCAAATAAAGTTTTTTAAAAAGGAAGTTTGAAGTTCCGACTACATAGTTGGCGCAGCCAGCAGTAGGATTCCCAAAGGGATTTTCGCCGATTAGCCCTTGAGTCCGAACTCTTAATTGGGAATCACGAACCTCCGTGACGAGCCGGTACGACTGAAGAAAGAAGAAAGAATTTGGACCACAAGTGCCCTTTGTCCTGTTGAAGTCGACGTCCACCTAAGGAACCTAGGCCAAGAACGGGATGAAGTACTGGACCTATCAGTAAGTGCTCATTGTATCCTTATTTTTTCATGAGAGACTCACCCCGACCTGTACATCCTTTCGAAGGTGATAGTGCAGATCAAATCGCTAATCGCATAGCAAGCTTAGAATTAGGAAGTAGAGAAATAAGGCAAGCAAACGAAACTATAGAAAGGATTATAATGACGACCCCCAGTAGAAATAGTACCCCCCAGTTCGACATAAAATTACTCCAAATTGTCCCAGAATTTGATGGGAATCCATGTAGACTATATAGATACTTAGAAATAAGCACAGATTTATTAAATAACTATTGGAACACTGACGATACAGGATGTGTCCAAAACAAAATACTGCTGCATGGCATTTTCTCGAAATTGACTGGTGCTGCAGAGCAAGTATTTTCTCTTAGCGGTTCCACAGACTGCAACAGCATTAAAAATTTGCTAATTGCTCATTTTGGTGATCAAAGAAACGAGAGTAGTCTTATCTCAGATATGACTACCCTTAGACAAAATTCTAATGAAAGCTCTTTACAGTTTTATTCTAGAGTTGTAACCATGCTGAATCATTTACATAACTATATAAATATTCATGAAACAGTTGATCCTATTAAAACAAGTAAAAAGGCACTGTATGATAGTCATGCATTGCATACACTTTTAGTAGGTTCAAAGGAGCCACAAAGTTCCATGATTCGGTCGATGAAACCTAAAAATTTGGCAGAAGCTCAAGCTTATATTTTAGAAGATAATAACATTAGATATTTACGAAAGGCTGGTGCATATTCAAATTTCAATAAGCCCTTCCATCCAAACCACATTTTCAAAATTTGTTTAAGCCTCAAATGCAGCCTATGAATCAATTTAGGCCTCAGCAAAATTTCAATTATCAGCCTCAATTCCCAAGAGGACCAGTTCCGATTCAACCTAGACAAAATCCTCTTCCACAAAAATTTCCAACAAACGCACAAGTTTTTGGCAATAGACCTAATGTTAATGTTTGGCGTAATCCGCCTAACCAAGGACCTTCCTACAGGCCTACTCCTATGAGTGGTGTTAGTAGCATCAATAGAAATAAGAATTTCCAAAATAATTATTTTAGGCCTTCTGGCCCAAGGAACTTTGCTTCTCAAGAACTACATAACGTTGAGAGTGATCCTTATGATCAAAATTTTGGAAACAACCCTTACGATGACTATTACTCGGAATATTGTCAGGATAGTGAAAATCAGTATGACTGTTCTGATCTATATTACGAAAACCCTGATGAGACACAAAATGATGTTTCTGAAACTGGTCAAAAGCCTGATGAAGAAAAACAAAATTTTCAGATGGCCGTGCCCATGATAGAGGAGACATAATATACTTAAACACAATTTATGACAAAACAGAATTACCTTATATTGAAATTAAAAATCCGCCTTTAAAGCTTCTTATTGATACTGGTGCAACGAAATCATTTTTAAATCCTGATCTTGCACAATTGCATTTTCCAAAATGTATTTATAAAGAACCATTCGAAGTAACTTCAGTTTTTCAGCATTCGAAGAGAGACTATTGTGCTAAAATTCCTGCCTTCTCAGAACTCAATGTTAGTGAGCCTATTAAATTTCATTTGTTCAAATTTCACAAGTATTTTGATGGTCTGATTGGTTTAGATATTTTGAAACTTCTAAATTCACATATTGACCTTAGAAATTCTATTTTGCATACAAAAAACGCCAAAATTCCAATCAAATTTCATGATTTGAAAAATCGTTTCTTATTTTTCATAGAAATTGAGCCCTACACGGTACCCCAAGCCAAAATTCCTGTCGATACTTATAATGGAGAAATTTTGATTCCAAATTCCAAAATTAGAGATTGTCTAATCAAGGAAACGCTTACTCATGCTATAAACGGTTATGCCCTAGTTGACCTAGAAAATCCAAGTAACACTTATCAAGAAATTTCCTTCTATGAGCCTATTGTTTCATTTCCGTTCGACGCAAACAATTACGCTTTATTCCACGCTATCATTAAACCATCTGAATCAGCTTCGCCGTTGCGACGTGATATCAGTAAACTGATACGAACATCTCATCTCAATAATGAAGAAAAAACTCATATTCTAAAATTGTGTCAAACCTACTCCGACGTATTCTATTACGAGGGTGATGCGTTAACTTTCACAAACCAAATTAAGCATCATATTAGGACCACAGATGAAATTCCTGTTCATACAAAATCGTATCGTTATCCACACATGCTCAAAAACGAAATGCAAAGCCAAATTAGATCCCTTCTAGATCAGATTATTATTCGACATGGTAGCTCAGCTTGGAATTGTCCAGTTTTTCTCATTCCCAAAAAACCTGATGCTAGTGGTAAAAAGAAATGGCGTATGGTGGTTGACTATCGAAAGGTTAACGAAAAGACCATAGATGATCGCTACCCCATTCCATGTATTTCTGACATTTTAGACAAATTAGGTCGTTGTAATTACTTCACAACTTTGGATTTAGCTAGCGGTTTCCACCAGATTGAAATAGCCCCGGAAGATATTCAAAAAACAGCATTTAGTGTTGATGGAGGTCCTTACGAATACCTTCGTATGAGTTTTGGTCTTAAAGGAGCACAAGCACATTTCAGCGTGTCATGGACAATGTCTTGCGAGGACTAGATAACACTATGGTGTATATGGATGACATCATAATTTATTCTACTTCTTTACAAGAACACATTGTATCATTTAAAAAGGTTTTCCAAAGATTAAGGGAGACAAACCTCAAAGTTCAGTTAGACAAATCCGAATTTTTGAAAAAGGAAGCAGCTTTTCTTGGTCACATTGTCACATCGCAAGGAGTAAAACCAAACCCCGACAAAATTCAAGCCATTCTCAAATATCCATTGCCCAGAACCACCCGCGAAATTAAACAGTTTTTAGGTTCATTAAGGACTTTTCAAAAATCACTCGCCCTTTCACCCTATGTTTGAAAAAAGGAGCAGAAATTAAGCATGACGAAAAATTTCTCAAAGCTTTTGAACATTGTAAGAATCTCTTAACAAATGAACCATTATTACAATATCCGGATTTTGAAAAGCCCTTCGTATTGACTACCGACGCAAGTAATTTTGCTGTATCAGCTATACTTTCTCAAGGTCCTATTGGCTCTGACAAACCAATAGCTCATGCATCTAGAACATTAAATGATTGATGAATGTTTAGCAATAGTTTATGGAACTAAGTATTTTAGACATTATCTTTTTGGACGAAAATTTAAAATTGTAACAGATTGCAAACCGCTTCAGTGGTTAATGACTTTAAAAGAACCAAATTCTAGATTACAAAGATGGCGCTTAAAATTATCCGAATTTGAGTATGAAGTTATATACAACAAAGGTAAAAAAAATAAAAATGCTGATGCACTTTCTCGTATTCAAATTCACGCTACCTTCTACATCACAAATCCAAGATGAAGAAGAGTCCCCATTTATCCGATACATGAAAACCTTCAATAAAGACTTTTCCGAAAACCTGCAGATGACCAAACGTCTATAGAAAATAATGTAGGTGATGAACAAACAGTTCGCAATTTGCTAGACTTGAGTGAACGAGTTGAAAACGTAACTATTCACTCAGACGATTAAAGCCCCATTCAAGAAATTAACCCTGCAGAAAAACCTATCAATGTTTTCAAGTACCAAATTTTTGTTAAAAAAGCTATTATGCCCAGAAAACTCACACTTCAAACCTTATGGGATCCGAAGAAATTCTTATACACATTGTATATTGTTAATGGTGATTTAACTCCTATTATACACTTTCTGAAAGACTACGGTGTGCCAAAAAGTACTTATGCATTTTATTTTGAAGATAATCATAACGACGCAATGTATAAAAATCTTGCGAACCTTGTATCTAATACATTCAAAAATTCTGCGTTCAAATTAGTTAAGTGCAGTAAAAAGCTTGAAAATATTACTGACGTTTTGAGACAAGAGGAAATCATGAGGTACTCGTATGATCACGAAACCAAAACTAATCACCGAGGAATCGTTGAGACTGTAAACCAAATTAAAAGAAAATATTATTGGCCCCACATTGATGATGACCTGAAGTTATACGTCAATACTTACGATATTTGCCAGCAAGGTAAATATGAAAGACATCCACCTAGAATTGAATTTGAGATTACCCCGACAGCTAAAATGCCATTCCAAATTGTTCACTTAGATGTATATCAAGCTAACAATAAGAAATTTTTAACAATAATTGACAATTTTTCAAAATATGCGCAAGCCTTCCCAATTGAAGCAGCTGATGCTATCTCTGTTGTAGACAATTTGATCAAATTCATGTCATTTCATGGTTTGCCGATCCAAATTGTTGCAGATTCTGGTACTGAGTTCAACAACTCCTTAATAAAAGAGTTAATAAGATAAAGCTACATTTTACAACTTCAAAAAATTCAAATAGTAATTCACCTATTGAACGATTCCACTCCACTATAAC